ATCTTGCACATACGAATGTGGACCCCAAGAATGTAGGAGTTGAGATACGTTCTTCCGCCCTTGGTATTCACTGTAGAGGATAATCCGTAAAGGACGCCGACCCCTTGCCAGTGATGTGATGAAATCGGCAGAGTTCAAGTTGAACAGCTCTGATTTGAGAAGCAATGAGCAACGTCTAGAGATCTATCCACGTACACAAATGGATCCCATAAGAAACCGGTACTACGTACCAAATGCCAAATTTTCGGGAAGGGAGCATTGCACAGTTGCTAAGTTGTTTCACAACCAGTCCCGCATGTTCCAAGGAAGCACTGCACAGTTGCTAAGTTGCCTCATAACCAGTCCCGCATGTTCGTGTGAAATTTGTGAATCATGATCGGCATCCACGGCCGCAGTCTTCTAGCAAATACAATCTAATCTTTGATGTATCGCCTAAACTCTCGTCTACATGAGCTATCCAGCGAATACAGGTCGAAATGCAAACAGTTGCGCATATGCAGAACATACCACGCGTCATCCACTGGCATTCTAAATCAGCTGTTATTTATTAAGCCTCATCGCCTAGGATCAGAAGAGATATCAGCTTCTACAGGTTTTAGTCAGATAAACGCGACGTAACACACCTAGCAGCACAGGACGTTCTATGAAATTTTGACTCGGCTGTAACGGTATATCTGGCATATCCGGCTCGCTCTCAGTCGCCTCCCTTGTGTCTACGGGCTCATGTTCCAGAAGCTCGCCCAGGTTATGTTCCAGAAGCTCGCCCAGGTTACCGATGATGCTGGTGTAAACAGATGTCATGTTCGATGAACCTGTTGAATGAGTTGCGGTGGCACCCTCCGTATGATCATCGTTTGGACCAGCTTGGCGCAAGTTCAAGAGGAACCGTGAGATCAAAATTGGCGTCAAGCTGCTAGATGTCAGTTGACGTCGATAATTGAACTGAAGTGGCTGCGTACACAATGATAAACGGGACGATGGGACTGAATGATTGAAAAAATGGCTAGAAATATCGCTGTAATCAGTATCAAGCCGAGAAAGCAGAATTCCGATACTCACCCAAGAATCAATGCTGATCTCGGCTACATTCAAGAGAAGGAGAATACTGAAGTACACCGTCCAAGTTAGATTTGGATGGAGATTAGCCACGCTCGCTCACATGAAGTAGAAAGTTCCTAAGCACCGAAATCAGCACTAATAGAAGAATGCGGAGATAAGATATTGAATACCATCGCGGATGAGCGTTGTCAAAATTGTAGCTCGTCTATTGACTCTGCGTGCAGCCCTCCAAGTGCAGAACAGTACGATGATATCTGCTAATATGGTAGCAAGTCTAGCTATCAGAGTGACTGAGCATACTTCAGTATCCTTTTGATTTCTGGGGAGCAGAATATTGGACTAACGTCTAAGAGACAGGTAATCAAGTACCAGAAGACAAGGATGTTCGAGTAGGCCCACCTAAAATATACTACATCGGATAGTCTACCTGATGTCGTGCATATATCGGCTAGCTCTGGAATGAACGCAACAGTGCTTGTACTGAATTCAACCTATCAGATTCTATGAGATTGATCCTTGTAATCTATGATAAAGTTGAACATACGATGGTCACAGCGACAGGTGCCAGACCCAATACCACGATCAAGACGGGAAACACCAAGTCGCGATTACGCAGGGCATACACACGAAGCGCAGAAAATACTGCATACTTGGGTGAGTATACTGTTCAACTTTGGATTAAAATAACCTCCTACATGCAAATATAACGTATTGGATCATGAATGATATGTCTACCAACACAGTCAAAGTGAGACATCTGATTCCGACGCATTAGAGTGTGTTATGGACTGAAGTAAGTCTCGCACATACATCTAGGAGGTCAGGTCAGAAGACATTTCCATGGATTCGACGTATGTACCTACCCGGGATGACGGTGTAGGCATCAATTGTATGATAGTGAGAAAGATTAGTATGTAGCGATTGGCGAAGAACAACAGCGATGCAATTGTCCAGCGTCGATGCCACATTATAGTGACTTCTAGCGCCAGCGTTATAATATAGTCATACACAGTAAGAGCTATAATTCGCAACTCATTATCCAGAAGCCAATATAAGGGATACTAAAAACCTACCCGTCAGCCCATAGGTAATATAGGCATTTATCGTCCTAAACGCAAAGTCAGTAGTGAAGCCTGGGAGAGGCAGAGAACTCTTACGCTGTTAAAATTGCTGTGATGTCGTCCGACGTGGCAGTAGACATTGGGAACAGTCGGAATAGTAAAATTGAAATACTATTTTGCGTATCTCCGGCTTAAGTACTCGCAATTTTCAGCCAGGGATGATCGATGTGATATGTGTGTCAGAGTTAAGGCAGTCTAAGTGGACTCCAAAGCCCGATTCAAGCCAACTGTCCAATTGCATAAGGACATTGCATGGATTTTGCGCCGTAAGAAGTCTGGAATTCACCTCTACATGTGTACTCCAGCACTGCACGGATTGCCCTGGTCACGGCTGAAAATGCATATCTTTACCACCTTGACGACCTGATTATCACTGGCAGCCCGTTGACAAGCCATAGAGCACTGGGATGAAAAGAATCGAATGGGATGCCATGTGGTATTTCCGAAATGGTTCCAGTGACAGTTGAACTTACTGGTTGAATTTTCCGATCGGCTATTTGGGCATGTTAGGATCAGAAGCTGAACTACTGCCCGTTTCGGCGGCATCGAAGTGACAGATCCAATCTGTCAAAGCCGGCGCTCGCACCCAATGGACTCAGCCCAAGTCTATCCGCCCCGCAGCTGGTTACCACTTCTCCGGCCTCAGATATAACGAACGGATGGCATTATATGTACACCGTACACGTACGAATACGATCCAACTGTTGGAACTTTACGATCCCGGAGGTGCTTATATCTGATGCAAGGCCTGGAATTGGGCCGTGCCTTAGTCGCTGTCAGTTCAGCTCCGATTGACAACTACCAGCGAAGTTCATTTTCCACCGCGCCGACATATATATAAAGGAAGACCGCTTGTTGCAAATGTTGTCCCTTGACCGCAGCATGCAACCACTGCTCTTCCTCGTCGGTTCTCTGGGTCTTGTTCCGTCTACCCGAGCATCCCCGGTTACCGTCTCTTCAGGTCCCCTTGACATCCGTATACCTCTATTGAGACATCATGGCTACGAATCATGGAGCGTCGGTGCCTTAGGTGAGTATCTGGAGTATGCAACCTCGTGAGTTTTGCATCGCACCTTCACACTCAGAGTCCGATCTGTTCTTATTCGGCATGCAGGAAATATGAGCGGGGATTCGCGGCGTACAAAGAGAACACGGGAGAAGAACATCCTTTAGCTTCTGGCTACCACTATACCGACATCTCCACCAGTACAAAGCGTTCACCTGGCGCAGTTGAGCTTGTCGACCAAGGTTCGCGAGCGATGATGTGGGGAGGCAACATCACTGTTGGTAACCCTCCGCAAACATTCACTGTCAACTTTGACACCGGCAGCGCCGATCTTTTCCTCCCGAGTTCTGCTTGCAACACAGAACCATGCAGAGGCCATAGGCTGTACCAACCGGACGACAGCTCGACTGCGAAGGGTCCAGGGCCGTCGTTTTCATTGGAATATGGAGGCGGATCAGTTGTTGAGGGAAATTTGTACACAGACATAGTGCAGATCGCCGGATACGAGGCGAGTATCCTTTGATCTTCTCGATAGGTTACCAATGCTCAAATGCCACTGCGCCGGTAGTTGGATGACCAGGTTCTAGGTGCGGCGAGTGCGTACTCCGAAGAACTCGGCAAGGCCCAGTTTCCGCCGGATGGGCTACTGGGGATGGCGTTCCCGAATATTTCCTCTTTCAAGATGCTGAAGACCGCCTCACCTGTGTTCCACTCTTTGATTGCACAAGAGCATGCCATTGATCCGGTATTCGCATTCAAAATCGCTTCCGCAGAGGAAGGTTCGTCTGAACTATACGTTGGAGGTGTGAACCAGGAATTGTACCAAGGCGACTTCACGTATACTCCCGTGACAGTTGTAGTAAGTCACATCTCCTCGATTAGCTAGTACCGAGCCGCCTGTCTGATGTATCATAGGGATTCTGGCAAGTTGCGCTTGATGGCGCTACTGTCAACGGGAAATCGGTCGTCGGAAACATACCCGCTGTCATTGACACTGGTTCTACCCTCATCATTGGCGATTCGAAGAACGTCAAGGCTCTCTACAGCCGTATCCCGGGCTCCAAGCCATTGCGTTCTCCCCGGGGTTACTGGACCATCCCATGCGAGCCTGCACCGAATGTCACTTTATCATTCGGCGGCAAGGCATTCCCCATTCTACCAGGAGCGTTCGTTATCCCTCCGCCACCTCAGCTAGAACTGGACGAGGGGATATGCTTAGGTGGGGTGACGGAGAACAGCAAGATCAAGCTTGGCAGACCAGGGTCTGATGGGTTCTGGATCGTTGGCGACGTGTTCTTGAGGGGGGTGTATACCGTGTTTGATGTTGGGAAGGAGAGAGTTGGGTTCGCGGAGTTGGTTTCGGATGATTCGCAGGATGACATCTTTGAAGAAGCCAGCTACAAGAATAACCTCCTTGGTTGGTTCTACGGCTCTGTGATAGAGCTCCTTCGATATTCGTGCACCATTTTCTCGTAGATGTTAGGCAGACGAACCTCGGATATCTGTGGGAAATACTTTACTTCTACTGATGTTACATTATGCATTAATATCATGATAATATATTATATAGTCTTCAAGCGTCGAACAATGTTCAACGTGAGCTTAGAAAACAGAGAATTGACTTTACCATATTCGTGATTTCCTGACGCAGTTTTCCATATTGCCTGGTATCAGGAGACTATTCTACGGTCAGTTTGAGTATGCAATGCTGCTTACCTAAAAATGTAAGATCTTTCAACAAATTACACTAGGTAATATCTCCCGGAACTTCGAGGTAAACGGTATAGTATTTACACAGAATATGAAGTTTATGCGGCCTGGTGGTCTAGTAGTATGATTCCTTCTTAGGGTTTTCTGAGAATCGCTTGGAGGAGGTCCCGGGTTCAATTCCCGGCCAGGCCCTCGCATCGCTTTTTGTCAACTACAACGTTAATATGTCGTCAATAGTCAATAAGGCCCAACCCTTTACTTTACTTTTAAACTGATGCCGTAAATCATAGAGTAAACAATTTATAAAGGGTAATGGGTAAGTTTACACTCAATACATGTGATTTTTGATCCGGAGGATGAAACTGATACAAAAACCTTTCGCGTTTTGCGCACTTGCAGTGTCAGTGGATTCCCAAATAGAACTTACACTGGCATTAGACTACCAGAGTAGGCAAAGAAAAACAATAGATAGCAACGTTTTCTGAGCCACTAGGTAAACGAGCTATTACGGGCTCGTCGTGTATCGCATGCCATAATAATGGCGTGAGGGAATTGACAATGATGACAAGCTGTAACTATGCAGCTTTTTTGAAAGCCCCGGTGTTTCAGCAGAGGTCCGTCTCGGAATGAGGCTGAGGCACGGCATTGGTGGGGGACCAAACGTACTCGAGTGCAACGATTCCGTCACCACTGTGGTAAAAACTAAAAAGAAGACAAAAATTATATAAAAAGTTTCGTGACGTCCCCTGCAGCTGTAGCTGTTGCTTGACCCTCTCCCGACACAGTGCTCGAAGGGCCTCCGGCTGAAGTGTACGAAGGTGGCATTCACGAGGGATCCGAGTGCAGTAAATATGTCTTTGGAAGGCGCGGAGGTCCAAGGTGATAGTGACGAACGTTGCGGAGCCATTTATGGGCTCTGAGGCTGTTCATAGTCACCCTCGACTATCCAACTCGTCCCACTGGTAGCTTTCATTCGTCTCCACGTACTGGGCACTAGGCACCGCACTCCGACTCGGAGAACAGCTGCTCATCCTTAATCCCACCATGCGTGATATCTGCGCTCACCAGATAATCTCCCAAAGTCATACTCTCCTCCCTTCCGCCCTCGCCCTCCTCACCCTCCTCCCATTCAGAGTCCTCACTAGTAGCACCCTCATCACCCAACGCACGCGCCAAGCTTTTTCTACTACTCGGAAGCCCCGGCACCCCCATCATCTCCCGTTCCCGTCCATCCATATCAAACGTCCTCCGAGGTTTCCTCGCCGTGGACAAAGGCGTCCCGACTCCTGGGACTCCGACTGGTACATTCCTGGCAAAGCGGGAGATTTGACGGACAGGTGTTCCTTGCGTGACCTTCCCTTTCCCTTCTCGTCTTGGGGTTTCTTGGGGGGGGTTAGTGGCGAGAGGTCGTAGCGGCAGCTCCCGAGAGGATATGTAGTCCGAGTCTGAGGAGGTGGAGGTGGAGGTGGTTAAGATGGTGTTAACGATCTAGGGAGGGTGATTAGGAAGTTGATAAAATAGGAAGGAGTAGTAAGATAGGAAAATGGGTGAGAAGCGTACATTGTCAATTTCCTCGTCGGACTCTGATGGTATGGGCAATGCGAAGGCAGAAGACCTCCGTGCTCTTCCCCTCGCAAGGAAACTGCTGCCCTTTGGTGCACCCAGCACCTTCGTTTCCTTGGTAGATTTAGATTGTGTAGGAATCGTCCTTTGCGTACTATGGTTGGTCGAAGAACCAGCGTGGTTTGAATACTGCGGTATCTTGCTGTGAGGCACGATGTTTGTCGCTGTGGGTTTGAAGATAGCTGGCCATGTTGCTTTGAGAGAAGCTCGGATGGTGTCCACCCGGGATTGGACGTTTGTTGGGAGAGGGGGAAGTCCGTATTGGGTAAGAAGAGAAATTGTAGAGGCAGTCTGCCAGTTCGGTTATTCAGTTTGAGGTTGCAGGACGGAAAAGACGGAGCTGCTCACGTGGAAATTCAGCCTCAAACTTGTGCTGCTAGCACCCATCCACAAGTTGAGTTTCAGTGGGGCTGCGGAGTCTCTAGCTTGGACGGTTGTCGAGTTCAAATTACTGGTCTTTAAAGTCATCAATCTCTCTAAGAGCTCGTCTCGCAACCGTTTAGATCGTAGGAGGGCATGATGGAGGCGTTGTTGGTTTTGCGTCTCTTCGGCGAGACATTCTGGCATGACTACCTTTGGAATTGGCTGGTTGTGTTCTGAAGAGTCGACGGGAGACTGAGAAGGATGAGGCGATATTGGCAATACGGATTTGGCTAGGTTGTGGAGTTGTTTGGGATGATGGGCAGCAGCGATAGGTAAAGGGGAAGGGGGAATAATTGCGACCTGTAGTATGTCTATACTTCAGCTCGCAATGACTTTGAGGCTAAGGTCAAAACTTACGGCTGCCGTATTGACAGAACGGACCTCAGCAGAGTAGACAGTGTTGTGATTCCCGTCGTGCGTGTTGACAGGCACGAGCCCTATGATTTCAAAAAGCGCATATAGCGAACGTTTTCCTTCTTCGCCGCGCCAAAATGCCTTCAAGAGATCTTGGATCTTTGAATCTCTCAGGGCGAGCAACCGTTCTGTGGAAATCGTGTCATATTTGGACTGGATCTTCTGCGTAGGATCTGCCAAACGAAGCTGGGTGATGTAAGATACCCACAGGAACAACTTCAAGGAGAAGCGTACATTTAAAAGGTCAAGGTTGTTTTGTCGCTGGTTAAGTCGCGAAGCTGAGATCTCCCAGCTGATACGCGCGGACTGAAACGTTGATAATGCAATCACGTATTCATTGGCATACTTTGAGATGTCTTCCTGCTGTACAAGGCGAAATTAGGAGCAATTCGTGGGAGATTTAATGTGTTAACTCACCAGCTGTGCGGTTGCATCGGTAGAAGTGTAGCTCCAAAGCGCGTGAGTAGACAGAGCGAGCAAAAGCCGCGTAAAACTGATCAATTTGACCATTAATCATATTTTTATTGGATTCAGCCATGATAAGTACCGATCTCCTGCGCATTCTTCGAGTAGCGACTTCCGAATAATGATATCTTTCCACCACCAAGCTGATTCCTCGGAATCTTTGTTAGCTGATTTAGAATGAAGGGCGTCATGTTTGAGAGACTCCAGATATTTGGTGAGGGCTGTTCGAAAAGCTAGGGTGTCTGCAGGTTGAGTACATGGATAAGTTGGCAATATCTGATAGTAATCATATCCGTCACTCGTAGTGTATGGACATGCCAAGCACAGGACTATACCTTCTTTACTATCTGCCCTGAGTTACGCTTTATCTTGCTGACCAAGAAGTGAGCTATTTCTTCCAGAGTCTTTGTGCGCTCTCCGATGCCATGTTCGTTGGGATTGAAGAGATGTTCGTCGTATTTTGTCCCTTTTTTTGAAGGAAAGCCGAGTAAGTGAAGGTGTATGAGGAGCAGAAGCGGTGTTGGTAAGTCTGTGAAAGACATCGTGGCGGCGGGAGCGAGTGGAGAATCCCGACATCTCGGAGTCGGACACTAAATCGGGAATCAAACATCATGAAGCGCCCAAAAGCCACAGTCGCGACGCGACGCGAAGGACTCACGTGATGGTATTGATGAGGTAACTGCGCTTACGGTGATTGCTATCCAGCTCAGCAGTGTCATTTCTGCTTACGGTCTCCCACATCTGCTTAGAAGCAAGGTTGCACATTTTCAGCAAAGCACGCTCACCAAACGCTATAAAGCCTTCCAGATGCCTTTTCCTACTAACAATATTCGTCCCTTCTCTCTCCAGAAATGTCCACCTCAAAAAAATCAGACGACAAGAAGAACGTCGTAGTCGTCGGCGGCGGGTACGCGGGCGTCCACACCGCAAAAGCACTCGCAAAGACACTCGACCCGTCCAAATACAACACCGTTATCATCACCTCCAAGCCCTACTACGTCTTCCTCATCGCAGGTCTCCGCATCGCCGTCTCTCCCACTGAGACACTCGAGGACATCGCCTTCATTCCGTACGACAAGTTGCAAGGCATCAATGTCAAGATTGGCACCGTTCATTCCATCGAGGAAACTGCACCGGGGAAGGGTGGTGAGGTCGTGCTCAAAGACGGAGAGAAAGTGCCATATAGTGCTCTCGTGCTTGCAACGGGCTCAACTTGGACGGGTCCTGTTGCATACGGCGATACCGACGAGGAGATTCGTGCCACTGTCGCCAAGTGGCGAAAGCGGTTTGCGGATGCCAAACATGTTGTCATAGCAGGCGGAGGTGCAGTTGGCATAGGTATGTCCTTATCTCTTTGGCTCCTTTAGTGTACCCCCTTATTATTTTTGATAGAATTGACGGGTGAGATCAAAGACTACTACCCAGTACGTCTATATTCTCTCGATGTCCACCTGGAACACAGCATTTACATTACTACCTCTGTTGTAGCAATGTAAAGTCACCCTCGTTCAAGGCAGCTCTATGCTGCTCAACGACACTTACCCCACAAAATTCCGCAAGGCCATAGAGGGCAAAGTCCGTTCCAGGAACGTCGACATCATCTTCAATGACTACATCGATACGTTCCCAGAACCCGGTGACGTCGGTGTCTCGACTCGCGGACAAAATGAACTTTCTGATGCTGACCTCGTTGTACGTCTATTACCTCATTTGATACTATCCTCACTTCTTACCTTGCACTTACCGCAGGTCCCATGTTTCGGCTCACACCCCAACACCGCCTTTATCTCATCCCTAGGCTCTGACGTCCTTACGAAGTCAGGCTCTGTCAAAGTAAAACCCACTCTCGAGCTCCAGGACCACCCGGGCGTCTTTGCTGCCGGAGACATCATCGATTGGAAAGAGCAGAAGCAGGCCGGAAAAGCCCCAAACCATGCTGGGATTGTTGCGCCAAACGTGGTTAGTTTCTTGGCGGGAACGACGCAGAAGAAAGTGTACAAGGGGAGTATAGAGATGATTATTATCCCCGTTGGCAAGGTGAGTTTATTCTTGGGAACATGAGTCAAATATGGATACTAATGGCGTTTTTCACAGTACGTCGGCGGTGGATACTTTGACATTCTTTGGGGAATTACCGTTGGGAACTGGTTGAGCAGTTTCATTAAGGGGAAGACTTTGATTGTCCCCCTGGCTCGTTCTCTCATGAATTACAATTGATTATCGTTGCTCTCCTTCTTTCTATAATTCTTTCCTATGCTTCTTGTTCT